CGACAAAAGGAAAATCTAAATAATTTAAAAGCAATTAAATATAGGTGCGACGAATTACTTTGCAGTAGGGTTTTTGAAAATGAAGATGATCTTCTAAACCACCTTAAATTTCAAAATCATAAATTTCCTGAAATTAGACAAACTTATAGGTGATGTTGCTAGAATGGAATTTTTAAAACAAAAACTGCAACTAGTTCAACAATATCTACCAAATGAAGAAGATAAAAATACGTTTTTTCGAGTTTATGCAAAAGGGTTCGGAAGGCGCAAAATTAAAAAATCACGTTTTAATGAAAAACAAAAAGATTTTGTTGGCAACCTTTTTGAAGAAGGTGAAAAAACTAAAATTAAATATACGCTTGAATATATAGCAACAGCTTTACAAAATTATGAAGTAAATGGCAAATTTTATTTTTCTTCAAACGAGTATATGCAATGCATATTATGCATCCTAATCAGATACGCGGCTTATTATCAAGATTATCGTCAGATAGAAGGTTAAGTAAAATAGAAAAAGAAAATTAAAAAATTTGCCGGAAGAAATTGAAGAAATTAGCCCAGAAGCGGATGAACTTTTTTTGAAGTTTTATCAGTTTTAACGTAGTTCCTTTGCGGCCTAAGTAACTTTTAAGTTATAAATAACCCTGGTTAAAATCTCTAGACTGATTCTGAGAATCGCTCTAGAGATTTGAACCAGCCGGTATGATATAAACCAGGGTTATTTATAACTAAAAAGTTAGCGAATATACCCCTTAGAGCCGAACAAGTTTAAAATTTAAGGTAAAGGTAATAATAATTATTATTATAATAATTATTAGGATATATTTTTATTATTTAATATATGCAAATCTTGCAGATAAATTGTTATATGTTAAATAATAAAGAAATAGTAATATCAATAATAATAATAAAGAAAAACATAATAAATAAAATAAAGAACAAACCTATTAAATAAATAAAGGAATACGTAACTCTTTATAATAAAGGAATACATAACTATATTATCTGAAATGCTATATAGTTTTTAAAGAAAAAAGGCTGCAGCGCCCCCTTGGTGTGAAAAAATAAAACTTTTTTTTTGCTGTGTTATTGTTACCAATAAAAGTAATCTCCTGGAATTTCTTAGTTAATAAATAAGAATAAAGTTGTAAGTGTAATTCAATTTTTTTTAATGCGGTAAACAAAACTTTAAGTTGACTTTACGGGCGGCAACATCATTTGCAAGTAAATTTTTACATATCAAATTATAAAGGAATATGTATATTATCTGGTATACTATTTAGTTTTTTTGAGCACTGTTGCTTAAGAGAGTTTTTGGTCTTCAAAAAACGTCTATTTTTGAAGAAGAAAAAATTGCAGCGCCACCTATATGTAAAAAAATTAATTTTTTTTTTGGTAGAATTGTAGGTACTAATAAGGGTCATTTATGGACCACATCTTAAAACATTCAGTATTTTAATAAAAAAATTATGCTAATATAATGAAATTATGGCTTTTTGCGAAAGGTAAAATTAAATGGTCTCTGTGAGCCAAAGTTTAGGTCAGATAAAAGAAAAATTTTAGATTTAAGGTGGAATTAGATGTATAAACACATTATTAAAATATAAAAAAAATCTGAGATGTGTTATAAAAAAATACCCCAAAATCGTTCGATTCTTTCGCGAAATCATAGTTAAGCTTACAAAAACACCAGAAATATGTCTGTAAGATTTTATGTTGACACCATAGTTTATTGTCTGGTTTATTTTGTTTAAACAAATCGCTTAAGTTTAGGACATTACAGTTAAAGGTACTTTTTGATATACACTATAAGTGGGCCAGATTCAGGCAAGTTCAAGGTTTTATACGGATTTCTTTGAGAAGTTCCGAAAAAAATAATGATTTAGTGAAAGTAGCATGTAAAAGCAAAAATTAACATATCACATGGATATTTCACCAGAGATATATCAAGATCTACACTGAACTACACGTTTTTGTAAATGCTCTTAAACTATCCAGTCCTCAAGCTTTATTATCGAAAAAACAACGTTTGCCGAATTTCGCCTATCCAGGAGAAAACGCAAGGATTTTCTGTGTGGTCTTTTACAATTTGATTCAAAATAAAGCTCTATTCAGGTAATAGTTGAAGGGTTATCAGGCCTAGATTGTGTACAAATGTTTTTGAATATGTGATCTGTCATTTAGAAAGTTTTGACGTATTTTCGAAATGTCATATTTAAAAGTAATTTTAGTGGTTTTAATGAATTTTTTTAATTTTTTTCATATTCAATCGTTTGAGCTTTGGTGCCTATAAATTGGCATAGTAATTTTAAAATACCCTGAGAACAAGAAACATTTATTATTAAAAATCAAAATAGTTAAGTTGAGATATTAATTATATTTCTATTTACAGTTTTTTGTTTTTGTGACATATCTTGGCCCCTACCAGGGCTCAAAAATTTGAAGAAAAAAAAATTGAAATGAAAATTTTTAAATTTTTATTTGAAATACCGCCCAATATTATAAAATTGATAATGCAAAGATAATTTTATTTACAATTTTTATATGGAGATAAACCTTTTGCCCCCTCCTAATAAGCATCAAAAAATTAAAAAAATTGGATTTTTAAAAAATTGAACATAAAAACTATTATTTTAAATATTTCTATGGTATTTTTGTAGTTTATTTTTAAAACCTTTTGCAAAAAACTGCTATCTTTAAAACAATTTGTTTGTTAAAAAAAATTGTACTAGGTACAATAATTATAAAATTATTGTTCCTCCCAAAATACCACGTGCAGTGCACCAATTGGTGCTAAAAGCCTTTGTGAATGTATTGTTAATTTTTTTGATTAAAATGACTACAATTTGGAAAATTAAGTCGGGTAGGATGTGACAACACATTCGACAATACAGGTCTGGAGTTATAAGAAAACTGGAGTAAAAATTGAGTCGCTCTTTACAATGGTTTATGTGCCAACTTCATATGAACCATATAAACCATATTCTAACGAACTACCACTAAGACATCTCTTTAAACATCTTGACGGCTCTGCAAAGCAAATAGAGCGAAAAACTGGCTATTGCAGATTATAAAATAATAATCTGGGAATTACTCAATATCGACTTTAATAGTTCGGATCAAAAATATATGTATCAAATTTGTCTTGCCATATTTTTTCGTTAATGTCCAGCCAATTTATTAAACTGTAATCTAAGAAAATTAACCCATTCCCGATGGCTGACTTGAGCCAACTGTCTTTTGCGAAAGATGGATTTCACTTTATTATGAACCACATTGGAGCATAAACCTTTAACATTAAATTGGCTAGTTCTTTTAAATTTGATGTAAGATCTTTTGTTAAAATATTCTTTTGCGAAAGATGAATTACACTTTATTAATGGATCATAAACCTTACACATAAAATTGGCTAGTTCTTTTAAATTTGATGTGAGATCTTTGGTTAAAATATAAAAGCGCAAAAGTCAGCCATCGGGAATGGTTTAATTTTCATAGATTAAAGTTTAATAAATCGGCTGGACATTAACCAGAAGATTTGGCAAGACAAATTTAACATATATTTTTGATCCAAACTTATATCATTAAAGTCGACATTGAGTAATTCGCAGATTAATATTTTATAGTCTGCGAGAGCCAGTTTTTCAAACTGCTCTATTTGCTTGCCTAAAACACCTGAAAAAGCGGCAGGGCTTGTTTTTTTGCCGTCAAGATGTTTAAAGAGATGTCTTAGTGGTAGTTTGTTACCATATGGTTCATATAGTTCATATGAAGTTGGCAGATAAACCATTGTATAGAGTGACCCAATTTTTACTCCAGTTTTGTTATAACTCCAGACCCGTATGGACGACTGTGCCGTCACAACCTACCCGACTAAATCTTCCAAATTGTAGTCATTTTAATTCAAAAAATTTACAATACATTCACAAAGGCTTTTGGCAACAAACATAATTACACTATAAAATTTGATACATTTGTTGAGTTTCATATTTATCAATGTTTTACAAAATCCTGACTTACAGTGCGGCGAGCAATACAAATTGTATTTTTTAGCACTCACAAATGAGATCACAAAACAATGCTTTGATTTTTGTGTTATTATTTATATTTACTACATACTCCATTAAGAAAAAAAAATAATTTGAGATAAATTACCGTTTGAAAATTGCATTTGTTTACAAACCAAGTTATAAACAAACTACTTATATAAATGTTTTTTTTTATATTTTATTGCATCCAATTAAAGTTCAGCCAACAATTATCATACTCAACAATTTTTAGAATTTTTGCCAGTATAAGTATTGAACATGTAATTAAATTTCTAAATAGAAGTCGCCGAAATATTTAATTGAAAAAATAAGTTATAACAAATGAAATGTTTTTAAAACTTTTGGGTGGGTTATTGTTGCATTGGTACTTAATATCCTTATGACATTTTTAAATGTTTCATATTAACATTAATGAAAAATCGCAATATACAAGTGCCACCACCTCCGAATTGACCAATTAAAACCGCGCTGTCCTCCTGTTAATGGCTATCACGCGCCCAGGTTTGTTTTGTTTGGGCATATCTTAAAAGTATTAGATTTTAGTATTTTAATATTTTATAATTTTATACCTTTGCAATGTGCAAAAGCTCTCTAGCATTTATGATATAAAAATTTTTGTCAATATTATTTGCAATGCACGACTTAAACAAACTGAAAAATGAAGATTGGCTTTTTAATATAAGCGTTTTGCCATTTGTTCTTTAATTCCATCACCATTCTACATTATATTCTCCATTGTGATTGGTTACCTTTAATTGAGCTGCTGAACCATGAATAGACCAGATTCCACTTACCTTTTTGCTAGATATTGACAACAAGACCAAGAACTTTTTAATGTAGCAAAGAAATGTTACTAATTAAAGAAGTATCGTAACATAAGTTTCCCACTTGCACACAGAAAGAACATTAAGTGTTTCTGCACATATACATATAAGGTAGGACGTGTGTTATTACCTGGCAGATTGTTAGTGTAACCTCCGTCCAGTAGCAAATGTCCGTCCACAGGGTCACAAAGTGGTGGCATGTACCCAGACAGTGACATGGATGCCCGAACATAGCGCCATAGAGAGCCTACGAAAATGCCTGCTACACTACTTGTACTTGCTTATTTCATATTTCATTTTTAATAAGAGCCTAGTAATTGTCAGTACGTATACTCACTATGTAGCCATATCATACCGAATGGACACTTGGGACTGACTGTATAAATTTTGACCAAAATAGTTTTTACACTGGTGGTTGGCCACTAGATCTTTGGTATTGGATAATAATTAATAAATTACATTATCTTTTAATATAATATCAAAATTATTAGCCTCAACGCAACCTATATATTAGGGTGGGCCGAATATCCGCTTTTTTAGAATTTCGTTTAGCAATAGCAAAAATTTTGTTCATTATGTTGTAAAAAAATTGTGTGTAAAAGATTAAAATTTTCGATCAACATCCTAGGCTCGCCCAACGCAATTAAAGATCAATATGTTCAAAAAAAATTTTTCTTAACTTATTTCGATCGGAAATTTTATGCTCTATACAAAATTAGTTCAGATGGATAGTTTCAGAAATTTGTTCATTATGTTGTAAAAAAAATTTGTGTAATTTGCGTAACTTATTTTGATCGGAAATTTTATGCTCTACAAAAAAGGTCCTTACACAAAATTTCTTCAGATGGATAGTTTTAGAAATAAACCCGATTTTAGTATCAACATTTTTTTGAACATTTTGATCTTTAATTGCGTTGGGCGAGCCTAGGATGTTGATCGAAAATTTTAATCTTTTACCCAAATTTTTTTTACAACATAATGAACAAAATTTTTGCTATTACTAAACGAAATTCTAAAAAAGCGAATTTTCGGCCCACCCTACTATATATAGTTGTTTATAATAATTATTACAATTATTGTATTAGTACAATTATAACTTTTTTTCTAATACAATAATGAGATACATGAGCATGCAATACGTATTTAATCATGTGCCTGGGTGTATTATTACTTCTTAATGCATTATTACAAAATCAATAAAAATTAATTTTGTAACTCTATTTTATTCATATTATCTTCGGACTCCGAAGTTCGGAGAAAGAATCTGTCAATGACATACTGTCATTCATATTCAGTAAATGTTTTTTAGTTTTTATTAAAAGATAAAATATGATGTTATTTAAAAAAAAGGTCTTTTTGTGCTTCGATCAATTTCTTTGCCTCGGCGCGAGGTGCCTCGGCTGCTTTTTTTTAACTCAAAAAAACTCACAAAAAGACTCACTTCTAATAAAATAAAATAATATTTTCTTATTTTTATCTCCAAATTAAATTTTGCTCACAGAAATTACTGCGTTTCTCTATGGAACTTAATATTACTTATAATAATTAGAGTCCACCCTCAAGTGTCCACTCTGTTGTACTTTATTTCTAATATATTTACGTCACAAATTTATCGGCTGAAATTTTAAAGGTAGCCAGTTGGTGTCGCCGGAACATTTTATCTTAATTTAACCTTTCAGTGGAGGTGCTCTTAACTATCTTAGTACACAATTAAAAATGGTTATTATAAACATTGTTAATAAACATATTTCCAAGAACGTTTTATTTGTATTGTATCATCAATGTAGAAAGTTCGATTTTATCCTTCATGTGCTGTGCAGCGCTCCATGAAAAAGTCTGAAAATAGTTGACTTTGATCCAGGAAGGATAAAATGGGGTTCCCGGTATAGAAATATGCCGGTATTTCTCGACAATATCGCAAGCTTTGACCTTTTAGCGAGGTAATTTGTGATTTGTGCAATCGACTGTGTGGATGTTTCAAGATTTAAAATTCCACATGTCCGTGAGTGGATGGCTTCGAGAAGCTCATGGACGTAAACACTTGTAATTGGGCAGTAAGAGCCTAATTGGTTCAAGTCCAATACTCTAGAAAGAGAGAATAAAAACTATAGAAGAAGATCATCAATGTATTTAAAATAGCTATTTTCCTATAATAAAAATTAAATTTTACTTTATTCTGACAGTTTTTATAATCTGTGCAGTTAACGAATAAACAAACAGTTAAGTTCATAGCAACTACGTAGGTATGTGATTGTTGAGGTCACAATCCACACAACAAGGTCTGTTTTATCTCGTTTCGCGCATACTAAAAATCACTGCAACACTGCACAGAATCTAACGGCGGCCATTGTTATGTTGTTTACAATTCTTGTGCTTTGGATTTGCTGTTTTTACAGATTAATAATCGTTTTAAACGTTGTGTTTCTTACAGAGGCATTTGTAAGCCTCAAATGAAGCCTTAAAGTGCTCAGAAGAACCATTTTACTCCTCTTTTGTAAAAAATAAACCTTATTCTATCAGGGCTCTCATGAAACTGTCAAATTTTAATTTTAAGGTTTGTTTACCATAACCTACAAATTAACCTTAAAATTGACATTTGACAGTTTGATGACAGCCCTGATAAAATGAGGTTTATTAGTAGGAACGGGACTACCTGAGACTTAAGTCTTAAAACAATAAGACTACTCCTTAAAAAACTTGGTAAAAACTTAAATTATCTTACTCTATAGCGCATACCACACATTTATTTTAAATAAATTATTTATGAAATATAAAAGAAATATTACAAAATAAAGTATTCACACACTCACAGGCAAATAAAAATAATTCATCCACATCAATTTTAAATGAATTTTAATCGCAAATAACTTTTTTATTTGATTTTTAATTTAAACTAATATTAAAGAATATTGTGGATAAATTAATGGAGAAACGCTTACATTTTAAAATTTTACTAAAAAATAGACGTACGTTTATAATATACAGGTTTAAACAAAAATGTTTTTTACCATAAGTTTAAGACACTCTGTAGAGTGGCAAAACCGTATATTGTTCTAAATTAAGTTTTAATTATCAAGACACGTCTATTCTTAACAGTTTTGTTCTTGGTTCACCTCGATATATTTATTTTTGTGAAAAATATGGATTTAAAAAGAAAACATTGCATTTTCCAATATTTTTTTGTACGAAGAACTAAGGTTGCTATGGTCCACCCATAGCCTATGGAGGATGGCAATGATAGTTTTGTTGAATCATCCCATACTTGGATATGTCATATACGGCTTTCAAAAGCAATCAAATTTTTTTTTGTAAATTAATGTGTTACTTTTGAGGTGTCTTCTTATTTTCAAAAATAGATATGTATCCGACTGATTTTGCCAGAGCCATTGCTTTAATCCAGGATGGACGGTCACAGTATTACGTGGCAAGTATTTTAAACGCCACAAGAAGTAAAGTACAAAGGGTTGTTAATCAGCATGGTGAGTACAGTAGAATGAGTTAATTTGGTAGGAAGAGGGGTACGAATGAACGAGATGATCGCTTTATTCGACTTAAAGTTTTACGTGACCGAAGAGTAACTTCTGTGGAGGTAAACACAGAAAGGAGGACGTACGACAGATCCAAGTAAGCGAGAGAACGATAAGAATAAGGTTATCTGACTGGATTACACGCAATTACCGCACCCGAGCTGCTAAGAAATCACAGGGTTGAACGCCTTAGATTTGCTAGGGAACATCAAAATTGGGGCATTGATGAGTGGAAAAATATCCTATTTACCAACGAAGCTAGGTTTTGTTTAAAAAACCAGGCGGTCGTCAAAGAATCTATAGAAGAACAGGAGAACGTTTTGAGCAAAACCATTTTTCGCCTATGGAGGAGGCTCCGTTATGGTGTGTATTCCAATGTCAGATAACCTAACTTGGACCTGTCGTAAGTCCTCCAATCCGTTTTTTACTTCCACAGAAGTTACATTAAGTCGAATAAAGCGATCATCTCGATCATTCCTACACCTCTTCCTACCACATTGACTTCTACTTCTATTTAAAAAATCCATATTTTCCACAAAAATAAATATATCGAGGTGAACCAAAAACAAAACTGTTAAGAATAGATGGGACTTGATAATTAAAACTTAATTTATATCAATACACGGCTTTGCCACTCTACAGAGTGTCTTAAACTTATGGTAAAAAACATATTTTTGTTTAAACCTGTATATTATAAACGTACGTCTATTTTTTAGTAAATTTTTAAAACGTGAGCGATTCTCCATTAATGTATCTACAATATTTTTTAATATTCGTTTAAATCTGAAATCGAATAAAAAAGTTATTTGCGATTAAATTCATCGAAAATTTGTGTGGATCGATTATTTTGCCTGTGAGTGTATATGACCGTGAAGTGCTGTATAGACACTATTTATAAGTTTCTGGAAATATGTACATTTTTTGAAATATCCATTTTAATTGTACAAATATTATTTACCGATATATTTGTTTACCCCTAAAATTTAAATTAGCAGCCACCCCTTGCGTAAAATAATCCGGCAGCACCTCCTATTTACCGGCAATTAGACTATACTACTAAATAAATATATGTATTTACTTAATTAAATATTTGTGACTATTTTACTAAAAAAGAGTAAGGATTAGAACACAGCAATAAGCTTAATATTCTTAAAAATAAAATTAGCCCACAACAATATTTTGAGATAATAATTTAACTTTGGCGTGATTTTTAGCAACAAAAAAATAAAAAAGCCCACACGCATTTTATTAATAAATCAACATTTAACCTTATAAATAATAATTCCTAAACAAATAAATATTAACTTACAAACAAGCTAACCAACTAACCAAGCTTTGAGCATATCTTATTATCTAGGTAAGGACTCTATACTATAGAGTATACTCTTTATTTGATATTAATATTAATAATTAATCATATCACTCACTCACTATTTTTTTGTTTAAATATTAATTGGAGCAGAAGTTTAGGAGTAGGTATAAGCATATTTTGACAACATTAATCACAATGTATAACATATTGTATTCACCTTTTACAAAAATAAGTTGAAATGGGTACCAAGACTTCAGAAGTTGTATTGTTAGATGGCAATACATTATTACATTACATTACATTCACAATATGTTGGCAAACTTTTTTTTATAAGAAAAAAGTAAGCTAGGGATTCAACTGCTAACGCCTCGTTGAAAATCAAAACAAAGTCAACAAAATTTTTCTAAA